TATATATATATATATATATAATGTAAGTTTTCAAGTTGTAAATCTTACCTGTATCAAATATCTATAGATTTTGTTTCAAGTTAATTTAATTGTAATTTGCTTTTTATTAATTATTCAGTCATATTTAGAGTTTTATATGCTTAAAAGCCAATTAATAAAATAATCAAGGAAATATGATTATTATAAAATGGCTTTTCCTCACAGTTGTAATATGGTTTACATAGAATTATAGGAAGAAAAGTTACATTTATAAATGCTGGTACTTATAATTTGTCTTTAGGCAAATGGTAAGAAAGAAAGTTCTATTTACCCAAAGGCTATAATATATTGATAAATATTTTCATATAATCATAATTATATAAAAATATTTACATACATAATATCTAAAAATGAGTAAAATAAAATAGTTTAATTTTCTATTACTTTGATATAATTTTATAAAATTCTTATTATTAATAAAAATAAAAATTTTATCATCACAGAATTCTAAAGTTACTTAATCTCAATTTTTTGAAAATTTTGGCTCATTGCAGGGTGTGAAATTTCCATATTACACATGCCACAATGGAATTGCTTTTACATATCTTTAATTGATGATTTGTGAAGAAAATTTTTTAATTTAATTCATTTATAATATAATGATGAAAGTTTATAAGTGCTAAATAAACTTTTTTATTAATTTTTACTTCTTGGAGTCTCTTTGATGACAACTTTTAAAAACCATTTCCTTTAAGGATGTTAGCTGAAATAAAATTGCTTAGGATAATAATCTTGATAATATAGAAATTTGGTGTTTTTATTTCACTTAAAAATATATATACAATATTATTAAATAACATTAAAGTACATGAATATGTATTAAATTAGTTAATTTGAAACAAGTAAATACAGTTGGCCCCCCCATAACACTGTTGATTTTTCCATTTTATATGAATTCCATGTTGTACAAGTCACTTAGATTTTACAAATGTGTGTGCCAGGCTGTGAACGGCTCATGTATTTGTAAAATCTAAGTGACTCGTACAACATGGAATTCATATAAAACGGAAAAATCGAGTGTTATAGGGGGTCGACTATATTTTATTCTTTATTAGAATAAGCTTTGTTTTATTGACAAGATTTTACAATTAAAAAATGATGTAGGAAGTTAAGATCACTATCAAATTGATCGGAATAACAGAATTTGGTGCAAATAATTTTTGTAAATTGTTTCCAAAATTTCTTTGGAGGAATTACTTGAAGGCAAAACAATCTATAAACAATGCTTTGTCATATATAGTAATCATTTGCCAGAATATATTTCTAGTAAATGAAATGTTCTATTAAGCTTTATTGTTTCTAATACATATGATTGTTTGTTTTCAACTCCATATAACTCAATATAAATATGATATGGAAAGGATACAGGTAATATTAAATATAGAGTAATGCAATAATTTACCTTTCATTAAACTAAAGGTGTTGAACAGGTAACAAATAATTATGTATGAGATAAAAGATCAGATTGAGTTTTTTTGTCTTTCTAAACAGGTATATAGGGTTT